GTTTTTTTAATATGAATCCATCTGGGTGAGGAATAATATGTTTATTAATTCATGGTGGCAGTCCTAAATAATTCCACGTTAATCGTTTCTAATCTCAATTTCTCCATGTGAAAATCATACCATTTTCGAGGTTGGCAAATATATGGCATTAAAACACTATTTTTCCATTTTCTAATCTTGTCAAATATATAAAGTATCTCTTGTTTTAGATAATGGCTGTAGTATTTATTATCCTGCACTGAGTAATATGATCTCGTAAATGTATTTCAATGGATAAACGAAATTTATTTATGCGTGTGTCTGGAAAAGCAGAGAATACGAAAAATAAAAAAAAGGTGAGGACAAAAATAAAATGGAGAACGAAATAAATAAAAAAAGAAGAAAAAAGCGAAAGAAACAAATAAGGAAATAAACTAAAAAGGAAAAAAAAATAAAAGAGAAAAGAAGTAAAAGTAGAAATAAAAAAAGAGAAGAGGAAACAAAAAAAGAAACGTAAAGGAAAAAGAAAAAGAAAAGAAAAAGGAATAAAAAGAAAAGAAAAACGATAAATAAAAAGAAAAACAATGGAAAAAGTACAGAAAAGAATTTAAAATAAGAGAAAAAGTAAAGAAAAGAATTTAAAATAAGAGAAAAAGTATAAAAAAGAATTTAAAATAAGAGAAAAAGTATAAAAAAGAATTTAAAATAAGAGAAAAAGTATAAAATAGAATTTAAAATAAGAGAAAAAGTAAAGAAAAGAATTTAAAATAAGAGAAAAAGTATAGAAAAGAATTTAAAATAAGAGAAAAAGTATAAAAAAGAATTTAAAATAAGAGAAAAAGTATAGAAAAGAATTTAAAATAAGAGAAAAGTATAGAAAAGAAATAAAAAAGAAGGGGGGAGTTAAGAAAAAGGCAAAGAAATAAAGAAGAGAATTAAGAAAAAGAGAAAAAGAAAACTATAGACGAGAAAAAGGGGAAAAGTGATAAGAAAAAGGAAAAGAAATAAAGAAGAAAGTTAAGAAAAGAAACGCTGTGAAATAAAAAAGAGAAAAAAAAGAAGTGAAAAAAAGCAAAGAAAAAAGAAAGGAAGGAAAAAAAAACAAAAAAAACGAATGGAATAAAAAGAAAAGAATTTTAACGAGAAGAAAGGAAGGAAGAAAGAGAGAAATAAAGAAAAGTAAAGAAAAAGAAGGAAAATAAAGAATGAAAAAAAAAGAGAAAAAGGAAAACAAAGAAATAAAGATGAGAAGAGAAATTAAAAAGTAAGAGAAAAATAATAAAAGCCATAAATAGATAAAAACAGAACTAAAAGACAAAAACAGAAATACAAACAGAAATAAAAAAAAACAGAATTAAAAAACAGAAATAAAAATAGAACATTTAAAAAAAACACGAACGTATTTTTTAAACACAATAGAAAAGTGTATGACGCCTATGCATTTAATCTTTTAAGATAGGTTGAAGCAACTGTCATTATAGAGGATACTTCCTATTTAAAATAGACGCGCCATTGTTATTTGTCAAACAGTGCGTAGTAATAACAAAAAAAAAAGTTGCTATATGAGCTCTGGTAAAAACATGTTGGTAATAATTGCAATATGAGCACTGGTAAAAATGGTTGCTGAAGACAGGTTTATAATACCCATAAATTCCTCAAGGGCACATAGGACAGTGGATAAAGGCATTAGTTATATCCAGTGACAGGACCCAAAGAATGTGAGTTCAATACTCGGTTAAGGCAGTGGCGAACGTTCAGAGGGAAAATTAACAAGATGACACGTGAAACTAGAATAGTCTATCCCAGTGAGCGAAATAAAGGGTTCAGTTCGACATTCCAACCACCTGAAGAGCGTACAACGGCCGATACATTTTAATAAATATGGCGACAAAGATGAGGACATAGTTCGAATAATGTAAATAATGCGTAGTACGTCTGCGCGTTCAAGAAATCATAGTAAAGAAAATAACCTTATATGGAGCGTTTTTCTCCGTGGCCGAGCGGTAAAGCTCACTGGATGAAATGGTGGTTCGATCAACACCGGGGAACGCATTCTTTCTTTCTTGGATTTTTCGAATGCGCAGGCCCAGAGACGCAATAGACACGGTTTAATAAATAAAAATAGGACGTTTATTTGAAATACGAGTATCCACCATCATAACATTTGAAGTAGAAAACAAATGTCAGATTACAAATAAATCCCTTCATTCTTTATAGATTATTGGAATAACTATGCAAACATTAAATGTCTAACAATTTATACATGAAAGGATTACTTTGCAAATTTACAAGGACCCTTGGACCGGGATGAGTCACTTACTAGTCTGCAACTTTTATGCATTTGCATATCGCGATGCAGTCAGAATCTCTGAACAGTTGGCAAATAATGCAATACTCAATTTCAGTTCATTAGCTTTCATTTGATATTTTCACTTAATTATCTTTTATTTGATAATGTCAGCACTGGATGGACTTAGCCTATTAGAATCTAGTTTAGACATTGCCCATCGCAGCGAGGCAAATGCGATCCTGGCTTCGGAAATTACAATTTTGTTTCATCGCAAATACTGGGTTACTGTGGCCGTCCATAATTGTCAAAAACGCCAATTTATATAGTGTTATATTTTTATTCATTTCACCCCAAGCAAGGTGATAAAGACACTAGGATGCAAGAGGTTATTGGGAATGAGATGACATTAGTGAGGAGAAGGAACAGCAAAAGAACACCATTCAGGAAGTTAGACGTTGCATTTAAATTTTTGAAGATTGTCGGTAGCAAGGAAGCAAGAAACCGGAAGTGGGTTCAACGGCGAGAAGTGCGAGAAAAAAAATAGAGTAATAGTCGAAAGTCGGAAGAACAAATGAGAAAAATCTGGAGATTTAAGAGACTGGGAGATTTTTCACGAACATCGATGCCATGCATTTGAACAATAGAATCATTTCGATAGAAAGGAAGATAGCCAGAAACAGAAACTTCAATGACAGAAATTGAAGAGTTTCGGTTAGATTCACAGAGATCTGAGATGTCTGGAGAAAGTTCCTAGAGAAACAATTCTAGATTGAGGAATTGATACAAGTACCACGATTGGAGAAAGAATGATTGAAGGGTTTACGTTTTTTTTGGGGGGGGGAAACTGGTTCAGAATTATTTTTCTTTATTCGTTGTAATCATAAGATAAGCTTTTACAGTGGAAGAGGCTAAGAATAATAGTCACTGCCGATCGTCTAAAGCAATACAAGCCTGCCGGAAACTGTCGAGGATTACAACACACAGTCGCCTCGGGGTTGCCCATCGGATGTGCTGACTGAATCATCTCTATATGTTGTTTGGTTACTCGTTACTATCTATTTATTCTGTTTATGTTAAACAATTTCCATATCTATCTATCTATCTATCTATCTATCTATCTATCTATCTATCTATCTATCTATCTATTATTATTCATATATCTCTTCTCTATTCATATATATATATATATATATATATATATATATATATATATATATATATATATATATATATATATATATATATATATATATATATATATATATATATATATATATGTAAGCAAATATATGGATATAGATCCGAACAAAATATATGGAAAAAACGAACAAAAATCCTAATATGCAATTATGCTGTTTTAATGTTAATATAATGTCAACGTCGGATGTTTCTGGTCTAATAGACATTATATTAACATTAAAACAGCATAATTGTATATTAGGATTTTTTGTTGTTTTTTCCGTATATTTTATATATATATATATATTCATATCTTTCTATTTATCTATATTCATATCTATCTATCGATCTATCTTTCTCTGTTAATATCTATCTATCGATCTATCTGTCTCTCTGTCTGTCTGTCTATCTATGTATCTGTCTATCTATCTATATATCTGTCTATCTATCTATCTATCTATCTATCTATAACTATTCATATCAATTTCTCAATATATATATATCTTTCTATTTATCTATATTTATATCTATCGATCTATCTATTTTTCTCTGTTAATATCTATCTATCTATCTATCTATCTATCATCTTGCATAGGGATAAAGGTAGGGTGCCTCCTCACAATCTATCTATCTATCTATCTATCTATCTATCTATCTATCTATCTATCTATCTATCATATTGCACAAGGGATAAATATCTATCTATCGATCTAGCTATTTTTCTCTGTTAATATCTATCTATCTATCTATCTATTTATGTATCTATCTATCATCTTGCATAAGGGATAAAGGTTGGGTGCCTCCTTACAATCTATCTATCTATCTATCTATCTATCTATCTATCTATCTATCTATCATATTGCACAAGGGATAAATATCTATCTATCGATCTAGCTATTTTTCTCTGTTAATATCTATCTATCTATCTATCTATCTATCTATCATCTTGCATAAGGGATAAAGTAGGGTGCCGCCTCACAATCTATCTATCTATCTATCTATCTATCTATCTATCTATCTATCTATCATATTGGACAAGGTATAAATGTAGGGAGCCTCCTCACAATTCTACAAAATTAAATAATGTTCCCATTTTTCCTGATGTTATCACTACTTTTATACTGGTCTCACCCGCCAGGGCCTTCTTCGGATGTTTGTTGATCCAAGTAGCTTTCAGGGTTTTGCGGATTAAAACCTTTATTTAGTCTATAGTGGGAGATTGTTTTCATTCCACTGTCCATGTTATCAGGTCTACTTGATTGAAATTCGTAGCTCCATTGGAATAGCGAAATATGAATTCCTGAAACTAAAGATTGTATAGCGTCAGTAACTTTCTCACCGCCATAATATAGCTCCCCCGAGACTTTTTTGTGACGTACAGTGACCGTTAATGTTTAAGTATAATTCAAGACTTTAATGTTAAGATAAAACAGTATTTAATTACAACCGCAAATAAATACTTAACAAGAACAAATAATTAACCTTTTCACTGAATACCTTGTTAGTTTCGCGACTCAGCTTAATCACTGCAATCAGTAGTCTGACACTGTTATTTATACACTTGACTCTATGAATTTAAACGCAGTACTAGACTGGGAGCTAGGTCTCAACATTTTACAGTTGAAATTGCTAGATGTAACCATAAGTTCTATGCTAACATATTTTTTTTTTATCCCGCGCCTCCCGATTATGGAACTCCTTACTACCGGCTTCTAGCTTTTCAGTCAATTTTGATCTTCAAAAATTTAAATGCAATGCCAATCGTCATCTTCTGTCTCCTTAAATACTGTTTTTTTATTGTTCGTTGTCCTTAATAGTAGTTTTTTCTCATATTCTCTAACACTCAATAATCCCTTTGAGTCTTAATGGCTTTAGTACCTTGCTTGCGGGTTGAATTTAAATGCAATGTCAATCGTTATTTTCTCTCTCCTTAAATCTTGTTCTTTTATTGTCCTCTCTCCTTAATAGTAGTTTTTCTCATATTCTTTAACACTCAGTAATCCCTATGCGTCTTAGTGGTTTTGGTGCCTTGCTTGGAGGAAAATATATGTGCAATGCCAATTGTTAACTTCTGTCTCTTTAAACCATATTCTTTTATTGTCCTCTTTCCTTAATAGTAGTTTTTTTCTCATATTCTCTAACATTCAGTAACCCCTTTGCGTCTTAGTGGCTTTATTACCTTGCTTCGGGATAATTTAAATGCAATGTCTATCGTTATCTTCTGTCTCCTTAAATCCTGCTCTTTTATTGTCCTCTCTCCTTTTTCGCATATTCTCTAACACTCAATAACTCCTTTGCGTTTTAGTGGCTTTGGTGCCTTGCTTGGGGTAAAATTTAAATGGCATGTTAATAGTTTTCGTCTGTCTTCTTATATTTTGTATTTTTTGTCCCCTTTCCTTAATAATGTGTTGTTGTTTTTTTCTGAATTTTTTCCGCTCGGTTACCCTTATCATTTTAGTGGAAATAGCCTCGTTTTGAGTAAAATGATTTAAAAGAAAAACCTTTTACGAGAGAGTCAAAAGCGTATAGAGTAATAGCGGTGTCAAGGGAATAACTGTCCTTTTGACACGCTGTATTTCTCCGGGCAAAAATGTTAAACATTTCCGAAAAATTCTCCTTTCACAAAATGCTACTTATTTTTATAAGTAGATATTAATTTTCAAAAGACAACTACAATTTAGAAATGTTTTTCATTTCTGGCTTATATTCATTCAGTGAAATAACATTTAATTTTAATAAAAATTTATTAAAAAGACCATTTTTTCCTCCTTTTTGCAAATCAAGAATCATGGAAATGATTGTTAAGTGTTAAGAGAATCTATTTTTATGAAAAAAGTTCTCCGATACCTCGGTTATATAGATAAGAGATGTCGAAGAACTCTTTGATGTGCTCGGATGTCCTTACAAGTGGAGGTCTTTTATCTGGGTATTCGTATTTTTTGGTTGACGCCAAAATTAAGCGAGTTGGCCGGCGAAGTCAGCTGTTGCAGAAATCTGCTTCAGTGCAGTCTGTTTATTACTTGTAGCTTATCTGACATGTAAACTATACCACAAAAAGCAAGCAACCCCCGAAGTTATTTTGAAGTATTTCTCCCTTTTTAGCCACTGACGAAGTCAATAAAATTAAAATAAAGCCTTTTATTTTGTTTACTAGAAAAATTAGTTGGCCTTCTTGTCGTCCCCTTTTATCTTATGTCTTTTGTCGCGCACATGACACTCAATAATTTATTTAGATATGCATTTATTACAGCGGGATTCGCCTGACTTCTAAATATGTATGATAAAATAAAGAGTAAAATAATTGTTCATTCACTTCTGTGAAGCGTCAAATTAACGACAGTCCTAAGGTATGTGGTTTTGTGGGCTTTCTTCGAACGTCTGATTTTCTTCCTGTGAAGATGTCGGTGAATCTTCCTTCGCGTCGTGACTTCAGCATCTTCCTACGATTTGGTTGTCTTGTGTGTGCGTAATCTAAGTTCAGTTGATTTGACTTTCTGTTTTTTGTCGACGAACCCATCGATATCCTCTGAGGCCGATTATTCACTTGGTGGGTATGAATACCCGTTCTAGTTCAACCGACTGAGGCACCTAACGTTTTTACGTTTTGATGTGACACCGTGTACAAATCTTGCTTTGATTTCCCTAACGATAACCCCCAATAGCTCTTGGGGCCACCACGGATCAACTTCACTTAGATAAAAGTTGATATCTCATTCAATTTACACTAATGGTATTTCATGACGTGAAACACGTACAGCATTAATGAGAAAAGAGTTAGATCTTAATTGAGTAGCATTAGAATTTCACAAAATTCAATATTTGTAGCCAAAAAAATAACATTTAATTGTCATAAAAATTTATTAAAAAGACATTTTTTTTTTCTTTTTTCAAATGAAGAATCATGGAAGTAAATGCACATGGTTAAGAGAATCTATTTTTATGAAAGGAACTTCTCTGATTCCTCGGTCATAGATAAGAGATTTCAAATAACTTTTTGTTGTGATTTTATAAAGGGAGGTCTTTCATCTGGGTATTCGTATTTGGGTGGTTGACGCCAAAAGTAAGCGAGTTGATATGCCGGCGAAGTCAGCTGTTGCAGAAATCTGCTTTAGTACAGTCCGTTTACTGCTCGTCGCTTATCTATAAAACTATGCCATAAAAAATCCAGCAACCCCCGAAGTTATTTTGAAGTATTTCTAACTTGTCGGTAAGTCGTATTTTTTCTTTTTAGCCGCTGACAAGTCACTAAAATTAAAATAAAACCTTTTATTTTGTTTACATTGTTGGTCACAGGGGGAATAAGTGTACTTTGTTATTGCATTTGTTGTCAAAGAGAATAAGATTTAGTTTCAAATCAAAAACTATTTCTTTAACTCTAGTTATTCCTTACTTCCTGTCGAGCACAGTATGACAAACGTGTACGATGTTTTTGTCAGTATTCAGTGCCAAGTAGCTTTTTATTATAGCTTTAAAAGCGGATATTTTAAAAGTATATATTAATATTGTGGTCGGCAATCTTTTGCTATATGCCGACTTAGGGTTTTAAAATCATTCAGTGTGCCAACAGCATACGTATTTCTATACAAGTCAAGGTCAATATACCTGTTCTACAATATATTTTATATAGTAACATACAGTATATATCAGTCAGTTATGTGCCTTGCGTGATACACGGTTAGGCGATCATGTATCTTTCGATACATGAATGACGATGCAGATTTTTTTCCGCAGTAGGTTGCCATTTCTTTCTGCGGTAGAAAGTTGCCATCCAAGGCTATAGAACCCGGTCTGTGCTGCTAGTTAGACATATCTGGGGGGAGAAGAAGTGGATTCCTACCTTTCCCGAGGGTATTTGCACGTAAGTTAAGATAACGAACGCAACTGGAATTGGAACTTGGCTATCCGACTAATACTTACGACCCGCACATCTATAAGCACCTGGATTTCCCAAGCGGTCACCCATTTGGGTACTGACCAGGCTCGACGTTCCTTAACTTCGATGATCGTACAGAAACAATGTTTCAACGCTACGTGTCCGTAAGCGGAAAAGTAGGTGTTGTGGATTCCGAGATGAAATTCGGTCTCCAATGAATGACAAACACAGGAATGAAATATAACAAATAAATGTATTTACACAATAATACAATTGGTAATACGGTTAGTAGATCCAGAAACGTGGTTAGTAGCAATAATAATATATATATACAGTCTGGTAAATCCAGTTTCGAAGTAGGACTTTTAGAGTTTACGTGCTTGTAACTGTGACCTCTACAAGAGTTTACCTCACACTATTACTCTACCTCCAACTCAATCACAATCTCAATCTCGACTCTGACTGACTCCGGGTATTTAACGGCAGCAGTCCAAGTACACACTGGTCGAGTCCACTTGAATGAAAAAGGGTGGACCCCATAACAGTAGGAAAAGAGGTTAAAAAGTGTGCGGCTGAAATAGAGGAGGAAAAAGAAGAAAACAGAACAAGAAAAATAGAGGGGAAAAATACGTTTACAAATATCACAACCTTTTGTCTTGACGATGTTCATTTTCCAATAGGGATTATCAACGCATAAAATGTTCGACGCATGCGCAGGCGCATGTCCATTAAAGCAAAAAAGTAAACAAAAAGATACTTTTGTAAAAGTATAATGGTCACTTTTCATCCTGCTATTTTTTTTATCGACGCATAGGGGAATAAACGTATCTCTTGTTTTGTTAACTACCGTAATTACCCATGCGTAATACATTTTTTTTCTAAAAATAATAAACCAAAATCAAGATTGCGTATTATGCACAGCTACAAAAAATCTTTAAAACATTTCTGTAAAATAAAATAAGAATTATCATAAAAATAAATTAGAATAATATTATTCTATGTTTAAAACCATTTTTCAAATAAGATTAGGAAACGCTGGCCGTAATGGAACTGGAGAGGTACAATTTATAGGGTTTGATTACCAAACAAAGATTGCGTATTATGCATGAGTAGAAGCACTTTCAGCAGAATTTTAGGGGTGCATATTATGGATGAAGGCGTATTATACATGGGGAATTACGGTAACTTGTTCCGATTGTCATTTTCTGATTATATCATCTGAAAAAGTTTTAAATTTATGTGCACATTCATGATAAGAAAAATCTTCTAAAGAACTGGATCTAGAAATAAGAGTATAGCGTCGTTTCTTCCTGAATGAAAAATCCAGTTGGATCTACCGGTTGCATCATAAATATTTATTTATCATTTAATTCTTTAAAAGCATTCAATA